GCAAATAAAACGTAAACAGTATTTTAACCTTTAAAATGGCATACTGGAAAAATTTGAAATCTACTTAGTGATCGAGATATTTTAAAACGATCCACGGTAATTTAATAATTGGTGCAATATGTTTCCAACACAAAATGGTTTTAAAGATACAAAGCAATGCAAATAAAATATAATGCTTTAGTGTGACACACAGCATGACAGTTGGCAACTGGTTAGAGTTCGTGATAATGACTGTTTCAAACAACGATTTGCCCTTATTTCAAAACAAAATGACCCACTCAATGCTGCGGTTATGAATTCATCGTACGGTCAATATTTCCTCCAATAATTCAACATAAGAGGGTAATGATATTCTTTGAATTAAATTATAATTGAATATTTCTATGAGACAGACGAGCCTCGTTGTTGGATGAGTATGTTATATATCGGGGTTGACCGAGAAGGGTTCACGGGATTTACCGCCCAGGTTACTCCTTGTCAGAGATCTAGGACGGAGGGCAAGGTCAAGGACAGGTATCCAGTTGTTCGGGTGGGACGAAAAACCGAGGTCATATTCTAGTCTATATTTCTATGAGCAGAAGGACTAAAATGACGCCACGGATTGTTTATTGATCGAAAGTACTCATGGAGAATGACGTAAATTATTAACGTTGAAATTTAACTGTTGCAGGTAATATTGACATTCGGATTCGTGTTATACTTATGGAAATGATATGTTGTGTTGACATAATTGCTTGCATTATTTAAAAAAAAAAATGAAGCTTTTCCTGTGACGTTTAAACCTCATTTCATTTTGTAGAAGACAGGCTATCTGTTCGTGCTCCTTTAAGTACCCTGATGTTATTGAGTGTTTCAAACACTACCAGTTATAGTAATAAACTGGAGATCATATAATTTTGTTAACTAGTAACCCAGATGTTATTTAGTATTTCAAACATCAACTAATAGTAACTAGAGATATAACATGTTATTTTTTATCGATCTTTATAATTAAATGAAATACCAGATCGTTAATCACCTATGTTATGGGTCTATGGTATTATTAGATTGATGTGTGCACATGTTACATTTTAAATTGATTTTCTACCCAGGTTATTGGTGAATGTATACTTCACTTCAACACGAATATAAACAGTATAGTTTCATTAAGTTGCACCTCGTCCCTTCAAATTATGTTAAAAATAGTTCGGTCGAGTTACGTATCATAGATCTGTCGAGTTGGGTATTGTAATTACCATAGATCTGTCGAGTTGGGCATTGTAATTACCATAGATCTATCGAGTTGGGTAATGATCATAAATCTGTCGAGTTGGGTATTGAAATTACCATAGATCTGTCGAGTTGGATATTGTAATTACCATAGATGTATCGATTTGGGTATTGTAATTACCATAGATCTGTCGAGTTGGGTATTGCAATTACCATGAATCTGTCGAGTTGGGTATTGTAATTACCATGGATCTATCGAGTTGGGTATTGTTATTACCATGGATCTGTCGAGTTGGGTATTGTAATTACCATAAATCTGTCGAGTTGGGTATTGTAATTACCATGGATCTGTCGAGTTGGGTATTGTAATTACCATGGATCTGTCGAGTTATGTATTGTAATTACCATAGATCTGTCGAGTTGGGTATTGTAATTACCATGGATCTGTCGAGTTATGTATTGTAATTACCATAGATCTGTCGAGTTATGTATTGTAATAACCATAGATCTGTCGAATTGGGTATTGTAATTACCATAGATCTATCGAGTTGGGTATTGTAATTACCATATATCTGTCGAATTGGGTATTGTAATTACCATAGATCTATCGAGTTGGGTATTGTAATTACCATAGAACTATCGAGTTGGGTATTGATCATAGATCTGTTGAGTGAGGTATTAGAATTACAGCCTTCGTTCTTCAGCCACTTCGAGATTAATACCAAGACATCTAGTTTTCTATGAATTGTAAACGTAATACGAGTTTTAATTGACATGTGTTTTATGTCTTGTAGACGTTTTAAACGATAAATAGACCGGTTTAATGGGACGACTATGTGTATAAATATAGCAGAGGTTATCAGACATGTAAATGATATATTAGATATACCCACATCTACATTTGAACATTGAAGTGAATGTCCACATAACTGACTAGATTGTAGACTCTAGAAAATGTATACTTATAAAACCATTTTAACGTCCTACTGTTCTGCCCCGACCGGGCTAATGAAAACGGGCATACGCCATACCGTGTGCTATGAGGGAAATTTTGCCCGGACAGCGGCGCTACAGCCTACTCTTATATCGAATTCCAACTTTCAATGGATCTTTTACATGCACGCCAATGTGTACACGTGTCCTTGTCAGACCGTCCTTCCTGCACCACTGACAAAGAGAAACCACGCCGGGGAATATCCCGATGAACTTTCTCAGCCAACACCGGGAGCGAACCCGCCCATTTTATTCAATTGATATATATAATAAGAACCACGCAAACTTAAACATACATTATGCAAGAGCTAAATCTGCCAAGTGCAGGTCTTTCTTTAGACCTGAAATGTTATCTAAATTATTAATCAGACATTGATTAACTTATCCAGACCATAATCAACTCTCGATTGCATCGCTAGTCTGTGATTAGAATCCGGTCTGCTGCTTCTGATCAAATCAAAAAAATGGATAATCGAGACTTTTTATCGTACCAACTTTAGTAATGATGATCGAGGCTAGGCCCAATATTCAATCGCTAAATTCTCGGTTCAGGGAGGATCACTTTGACTGAAATTTTCAGCAAATTCCCTTTACATTATCTAGTTTTTTACTATTATACTGCGAACTACTAGCTCTTTATCTAATCTCCCATAATGTATCTTTAATAACTTGACTTATAAGACCAATTTATTATTGAGTTGATATAAACAATTAGAACCACACAAATTTTTAAAATCTTTGGCCTTATTAATCGATTAAAAACCAATATACAGCACAATCAAGCCTTTATACCCACAGTGATAAATTAGTGTAGTAATTCGTCGAGTGTATCGCTAGGAAATAACATTCTAAATATAGTTTAATCTTTCTTTATACAAGTACGTGATTTTATTTCTAGGCACAGTAATTATCAGAATTATTCGGAGAATGTGACGTCTCTGTAGATCATATTTACATACCGACTTGGCTAATGATTACCTATAGCTCGAAAATAATTAAAGAGAGAGGGGGGGGGGGGGTTAACGAACACTCTATACAAATTAGGTCATTTCGGGACTAACATATGGTTCAATTTTATTTCAATAATTCGTTTGTGTGTAGGTGTCTTTAGCAGTGGGAGGAAACAAGAGGTCCCAAAGAAAACCCACGAGGTTGGATAGGCGACCCTACTCCTTGTCACGTTCAATCGGGGAATCGAAACCACGCCACTTGAATTAATAACATGCCTTGTGAAGTAACTCTCAACCACTACCCCCACCCCCACCTCCCCTCCGCGTAAACTAAATGATTAGGTAGCCTGTCTCTTGTGTTTAGAATGATGTATATATTGTCATTCTGATTCGGGATACGAGTCTATTATATTTTATAGGACACTCTAGTCCAGATGGTCATTTAATTCTAACTTTGACCTTTTCGTTCCGCGAGGTAACATTTCCTTGCTGGTCGTTCGTGGTGGGTGTTTTAAGAAACAACAAATAAGTAATGTAGACCTGCTGACATTTACTCTTGTGGCGTGTGGTTTAAAGGGCGTGTGGCTTTATTTTTTGGAACCATGAATGGATCTAAAACCACATTAATTTAGTGTATATAAAGTGATTTACATTCAGGTTTTAAAAGAATTATTGTAATTTCTAATCCATTATGTTCTGCGAAATGCGTGAACAGTCCAAACTGAACGGCAGTCGTTTACGCCTGCTTCGTCCGTTCTTAACGTTTTTTTAATATTATTAATCATTTGTGAATCGGCCATTAATATTTACTGTCGTATTTTAATTTAGGATATGTTTTTCTTTCTTCATTAATTTTGCGCACGAAAAGATAAAGTACACGACTTGTGTACCATACTTCAAAACGTTCATTGTGTCTTAAATATTGGATATTAGGATTCCACATTTTCACGGCAGCATAACAACATCAATATGGATTGAAATGGACCAATATTGAATTCCAATTCGTGTTTTTAATTTCGAATATTATGGAAAATATTGAGTTAGAGATTTAGCTCCTTTAATGTTTTGAAAGTAATAAAGCAGCAATACATCTATTAGTACGTGCCGGAGGACCGCACCACACACAAACAACTACACACGACAACCCCACGGACAAGACACGCAATATTATACCCAGACATTTCAAACAATTAACGTATATGTTAGATCAAGTGATAATTATTTTTGACAGTTATAGGCCGTTCTTACACGCACAATTGTCTTAAACGTCCCTCATCATCATCAGGTTTGCGTAATTAATTGTGTCTAAAACACTCTTCCATCTTTCTCTAGTCTTCAGGGTGTTGGATTGGGAGCAATCTGACTAAAGTACAAATCTATATTTCGCTTCGTTTTTATATACTTTCGATGGCCTGCACTACATGGAGATCTGACCAGTTGTGGTGGAAGATCGCGTCAGAGGTCATACGAGCGGTTTTTGATACTATGTCGTCAGACATTTGATTAACCAATCAGCGTTGATGTTTCTAGTGGGATACCCACAGTTCCCTGCACCTCACGCCAAAAACTCACCATAACAGATCGTTTCGTTGGTTAATACCTCACATCATCCAGAACGCGGGTTATATAACAATTCTTCCAGATCCTAGTGTAGTAAAGACAAGTAAAATGAAATTTTGAACTATAAAAAACGAAACGAAATAGGATCTGTGTTTTAATCAGATAGGATTGGGAGGATCCTTATAAGTGGATTAACCTGGGGCCCTCTCATCCCCTAAATCAAACACTGCTTTTGGTAGGCATTATATAGTACGCATGACGTCAAACAATTGTTTTTCTATTTTTCAGCTTGAAAACAGTGACATCAAATTGTTCTCAACATGTCCTGGGGTGGATCTGAAAAATGTCCACGTTGCAGTAAATCAGTTTTTTTTGCGGAAGAAGTTCGAGCACTGGGGAAGAAATGGCACAAGATGTGTCTCAAATGTAGTAAGTATTTATTTAATTGTATTGACCAATCAAAATAAAATGAAATTGGGATTAACGTTCTACTTTTAAACTTTGTTACACCGACAGTGTGCTATAAAGGACAGCGGCGCTACTGCCGACTCTTATTTCGAATTCCAACTGCCGGGGGATCTTTTACGTACACGGCAATGTGTACACAGGACGGGACCTCATTTTTGCGTCCCATCCGAACGACTAGACTGCTGTCAAGGGTTCTTTTGTATATGCACCAATGTGTACGCTGACAAGGGCTAGACCAACGTACTACCCATATCCATCGCCAATCTATCCGTTTGTCTGTGTTTACGTTTAATTTGTCGACTTCAAGACAACATGATGGATTTCAAGTATGTTGTTCAGATGGTGGATCGGGACACGTGAATTAGTTGCTCCAAACCATAGATCAGGACACGTGAATTAGTTGCTCCAAACCATAGATCAGGACACGTGAATTAGTTGCTCCAAACCATAGATCGGGACACGTGAATTAGTTGCTTCATAGCATAGATCGGGACACGTGAATTCGTTGCCCCATGCCATAGGTCTGAACGCGTGGATTAGTTGTTCCATTCCATTTTGCTGCTGTTGTTGTTGTTGTATTTTTAGGTAATTGTAATAAAATGTTGTTCTTGTATTTTTAGGTAGCTGTAATAAAATGTTGTTGTATTTGTAGGTGGCTGTAATAAAATGTTGTTGATGTTGTATTTGTAGGTAGCTGTAATAAAATGTTAGACAGTACAAACTGTAATGATCATGATGATGATATCTTCTGTACAGCATGTCACAGAAAACATTTCGGTCCTAAAGGTTACGGTTTTGCTGGGGGATCGTCAGGGTTGTCAATGGATACCGGAAGAAGAAACGAAATAACCCGAGAGTGAGTTATAGGAACTTTTACATCAGGTGTTGTCTATGTTGGGGCCGGTTGGAGCGATCAGACCGGTTTAGAATTAGATCAGACTGGTTTCGGAATAGATCAGACCGGTTGGGGATTAGATCAGTTAGATCAGACCGGTTGGGTTGGGGATTAGATCAATTAGATTGGGGATTAAATTGGGTCTGTTGGGGATTAGAACAGTTATATAATGGTGTATACACATCAATCTATTTCCATTTGAATAATTGTATTGTTGGCCACACATTTGACTTTGGTGTACAACTGTAACATTATTCAGTGGAATGTGCACTGTGTAGGTGTACAATTGCCACGTGGCGCGATGGGATGTCTAGATTGCAGTGTGACGCGATGGTTTGCGGCCTAATAACCTTTTATCTGCTCATGGTCCATTATAAGTGCACAAATGCGACGTGGCGCGATGGGTTGTCAAGATTGCGGCGTGGGACGGGGGTTTGCGGCCTAATAATATTTTATCTGCTCGTGGTCCATTAGACAAATTATACCTCATATATAATGCCATTTAGTTTGCGAGACAACATTAATAATGCAAGATATTTGAATATTTTAAATGGTGGCCGATATGTAAGATAATACCAGACTTTACCTGGATCATTTCCTTGGCAACAGAGCTTCAAAATCAATAATATTGTCAAGTTGTTCATTAGGATAAGGATATATCACCGTATTATTAAACTCAAACCATGTCGATATTAGAAGAAGTAATATTGTTGTAGTCCCCCGATATTCTAAGAAAGCATGGTGCTATTAAATTAAAAAGTGTTCTTCTGTCTGTTCGTCCGTCCCCTATCCCCACCCCACCCCACTGGACACGGGCCTGGTAATATAATAATTTATTACACCAGTATAATAATAGTAATGTATTATTACATAATTTATTACAGTAATGTATCATCTTATGACCAAGCCCAATCTGGTGCTGCTATAGGTAGAAGTACCAGTAATGGTAATGGTTTTGGTGGTGCTGATCTCTGTCCAAGATGTGGATGTGCTGTTTATATGGCCGAGAAAGTAATAGGTGCTGGACAAGTAAGTGGCACGATGTTTCGTGATTAGCAGACCCGTAACTAGCGAGGGAGGGGGCGGGGGCAAGAGGGGCACGTTGGTCGTTGGCTTAGTATTGCGTCCAATGGAAAGGGCGCCCCGATTTTTCCATGGAAGGCAGCTGTCCCTCTTGCCCCCCCCCCACTATAGTACTCTTTGCCTGAAAACATACTACGTTCGAAAGAAATTTTGAAAAAGGGGAACTGTTGAAAACCACTGGAATAAATTTATACACAATGTTTATGTTCTTCTTATGGAAAAGCTTTCGATATCTCGAACATGTTTTGGTTATGTTAACGCTGGGACGAACTGAACTGGACGCCTTAGATCACGGAGTCGTGATGGCCCAGTGATTAGGGTGCTGGTTCATGACTAACCAGGATTTCCGGGGTTCGATCCCGGTTTTAGATAAGAAAGTTCCCCGGGCTTTTCCAGCTTGGTTTCTCTTTGTCGGTGGTGCAGGGTGGGGATCTGACAAGGACAGGGTCTAGTCGAAAAAACAGGGGTTCTGTGTACACATTGGCGTGGACCGAACAGAATCATTGACAGTTGGATATGCGAATAGGTCATATCCCAGTAGTCCCAGTAAACAAACCATCATAGCACACTGTATGGCGTATGTCCGTCTTCATTAGCCCAGTTCGGAACAAAAGATTATGACGTTAAACCCCATTTCATTTCATGCCTTTGAACTGTTTTAGATGTTTTGTAAATCATGTCATTACCTTCAACGATATTACACGTATGTTCGTTGTCTGGAAACTTTGTTTCTGTCACCAACACCCCGTTAATTGACACGAACAATTAGATATAAACTTATTTTATTATTCATTGAATGACAATAGGATGAGACACAAGTTTTTCAACTTATTAAGTCTTTTCCTTTACATAAAGTTATTAATCATAAAGCATAATACAATAAGATACATTAATATGAGACATGAAACACCTCCCTTAGTACTATATAGTCAGGGGCGTAAATGTGGGGGGGGGGGGGTCCAGGAAAAAAAATAGTCGCTCGCAAAATCAGTGCAGTCGGTCGCAAAATAATAGCAGTCGGTATCAAAATAAGTGCTGACTGCACACGTCACGTTACTCACGCAAAACTTTAGTATAAAATAACTTTGTCAACTTAACGTGTTTCACTCTTATTCTGTTGTGAGTATGTAGGTCTAAGAACAAAATTTCCCCCAGGGAGAAAAATAGTCGGTCTCAAAATAAGTGCAGTCACTGCAGTCGGTCTCAAAATTATGCATCGCCGTCTTAATGAATTAATGAGGTAAACAAATAATGCCAAAATAGATCCCAAAGTCGGTCGCAAAATCAGTGCTGTCGGTCGTAAGATATGAGCAGTCGGTATCAAAATAAATGCTCACTGCACACGTCACTCTACTCACGCAAAACTTTAGTATAAAATAACCTTGTCGACTTATCATGTTTGAAAAAAATGTTTTTCACCCCATGGCAAAAAAATAGTCGGTCTCAAAAAAAGTGCTCACCGCAGTCGGTCTCAGACTAAATGAATTAATGGGGTGTTTTCTGACCATCAGAATTCTGCAAAATCTCTCCCCAAAGTCCAGGGCATTTCAGAGACCAAGTAAGCGTCCCATTGAGGTAAAGTGCCCAGTCCTCAAAAATTAAAAGCTCAGTTACATATCGGCGCTCAATTCCATTATGCCATCATTCTTCAACTCCTTCTCTGACTTTTACTATCTCATCACTATCATTCACAGTTACAGTGAATCGCCCAGTTAGCAGTACCACTAGCGAGTGAGTCGTGGGTCAAAAGACTGTAGAATTGTTAGTTCTACTCTCACAAAACAGGCGACATTGACAGATAGGCCTCAAGATTCTGTCCCATTTCTTATCCTCTCGTTAACGAGAATTTGGATCCATTTGCAATGACATTGACTAAAATTGTCAGGCCCAGTCCAAAAAATTAAAAGCTCGGTTACATCTCAAATTTTTTCGCGCCTGCGGCGCTCGATTCCATTATAACACCAGTCTTCCACTCCTCTGTTGTCTTATACTGTCTCAGCACTATCATATTCACGGTTATACTGATCTGCCTAGTTATGTTAGTAGTACCACTGGCACTGGTGTGTGGGTCGTGGGGCGTCATACTATACAAAAGTTCTGTCAACTCTTGCAAAACAGGCGGAATTGACAGGGGCAGATCTCGAGATTTTGTCTAATTGACTCACATTTCTGGCCCCCTCGTCCACAAGAATTTCTCCCAGCAATGACCTCAAATGCCAAGATATTGACTCAATTTTTCAAAATTTTCTCAGGTTGCTCAGTGTTATAGGCACAATCATATATGACATAAACTTTATGTCAACTTAAATAAAACTGCTTTTCAGTGAGGCAACGATCGGCAAACAACTATATAATACTATCTATGTTCTACCGGGACGCTTAATGTTATAGCCAGTATTTTGTTGACATTCATTGTGGGGTGGGATTGTGGCTGAGATGGCGCCCTAGATTTGGACCCCCACCCCACCCCTATCTGGATCCGCTACTTCACATGGCCCCTACAAAACTCGCACCTGTGGTGCTCGGTTCCTGACTTTGTCACTCGTACTAGGGGTATGGGCATCAGTCGGTCGCATTTTCGCTAAACACCCCCCCCCCCCCCCCAAACAAAATCGTTATGTACGCCCCTGTATATAGTGATGTTATAGTCCAATGATAGTGTATATTTAATTTATATGTCTTTTAGATAATAGTAAAGGAGGTGTTCTTGACTTGTCACATATCAACGAATGCTCCAATATTAGTGGACTAAAGTTTGAAATTTAATACATCAATTGCCATTTATGTTAGTCCCAGTCTTTATCTAGGTATTTTAAGTGGACGTTAAACCCTATTTCTGTGTGTGTCTATTATAGTCGTATCATAAGGTCTGTTTCCGGTGTGGTAATTGTAAGAAAGGATTAGATTCTACGACATTAGCTGTACATGAAGGTGACATATACTGCAGAGGTAAGAACAACATACTTCAAGGTCTATAGTTGGGAATCGACATAAGAGTAGGTCGTAGCCCCACTGTCTCGACATAAGAGTAGGTCGCAGCACCACTGTCTCGTCATAAGAGTAGGTCGCAGCACCACTATCCCTCAGTCGTAACACCACTGTCCCACATAGCACACTGTATGGTTTATAGTTGGAAATCGACATAAGAGTAGGTCGCAGCACCACTGTCCCTCATAGAACACTTGGGAATCGACATAAGAGTAGGTCGTAGCCCCACTGTCTCGTCATAAGAGTAGGCCATAGCACCACTATCCCTCAGTCGTAGCACCACTGTCCCTCATGCCACACTATAATAGTTGGGAATACGAGTAGGCCGCAGCACCACTGTACTTCAGTCGTAGCACCACTGTCCCACATAGCACACTGTATGGTTTATAGTTGGAAATAGACATAAGAGTAATAGAACACAATTTTTATGGGAAACAATCACTGGTTTATTCTAAAAGCACGACGTTTCGACAAGTATCCTCTTATCGTTATCAAGCACGTTGTCGAAACGTCGTGCTTTTAGAATAAACCAGTGATTGTTTCCCATAAAAATGGTGTTCTATTAATGTGTTTTCCAATCGCTAAATGCCACTTAAAGACATAAGAGTAGGTCGTAGCGCCACTATCCCACATAGAAAACTGTAAGGTCTATAAGTGGAAATCAAAAATAAGAGTAGGTCGTTCGAGCGTAGCACCACTATCCCTGATTGCATACTGCATGATACGTGGAAATTCCATCATGGCACAGTGCATGGGTATAGATGTCATGTCTTCATTCTCCCAGTCGGTGCAGAAAAGTAGAACTTCATTTCAGAGGCTATAATGATCCATGCAGATCAAACGCACGCATGGTCTATAGGGTTACGCTGTTTATATGTAGTTTGTAACCATGGTTTGTTTTAATCTATGGATTATTCCCGACATGGCAGTTAGAGTCTCGATGGCACTTGACATGCATCTGGATTCCTGCACACCCGGGCCTTAGCTCGTGAGTTTTCAAGTCACAAACCCATTACACCCCCTCCCTCTCGACACAATCTTTTAATGGTTGATAAGCCGGGTGAGGCATCAGTTCGATCAGTCTTTGAATGATGAGTTTGATTGCCTTTCTGACTACCATAGTTCTATATTTGCAGCATGTTATGGGAAGAAATTTGGACCTAAAGGTTATGGTTTTGCTGGTGGAGCAGCAGGTTTATCTATGGATACGGGAAGACTTCATGAATTAACACGAGAGTAAGTTGTTTATTTTAAATAGTATGACATTTAATTATGTATCTGATATTACTGATCCTATCCTGGGATGGTTTCCCCCTTGTCAGTGGTGCAGGGCGGAGGGCCTGACTAGGACAGCTGTGACTAGTCGTTCTAATTGTACGAAAAACCGAGGTCCCGTGTTTACATAGGAATGCATGTAAAAGATCCCTAGGCAGTTGTCAGAATTTGATATAAGAGTAGGCCGTAGTGCGGCTGTCTCGGCAAAATGTCCCTCTTATGGCATACGCCTGTCTTCATTAGCCCAGTCGGAGCGGAACAGTAGGACGTTAAACCCCATTTCATTCATTTCATTTCATTTCCGAAGTGCTAGCCCTATGTTAACATGATAAAAATTATAGGAAGAATTTGCTTTGTATTGACATCCCCTACCTGGTATATTCTCATTATGCACACAGAGATTCAACTACTTCGTACTTCGATATTAGATCTGTGGCCGCCATGTCCAAAATTAGTTATGTAACTGTTTTGTAACGCGGTTCTACTAAGCTTGACATCTGTTATACACAAAAAGACTAAATAAACTTCTTAAATTTTATTGAATGAAAGCAACAAATTCTTGAAGTTTACTTAGCGTTTTCCAAACTGATTAAAATACAGATTTTTATTATACTTTCGATAGCCTACACTATATGACGATCTGACCGGTTGTACTGAAAGGTCGCGTCTGGGGTCAAACGAGTGGCTTGTGACTCTATGACGTCTGACAGTGATTAATCAATCCGCGATCCTAGTGCAGTAAAGACACGTAAAACGAAACTTTGAACTATAATAAACGAAACGAAATAGGATCTGTGTTTTAATCGGGTTAATGATCAATAGGTTTACAGTATGTAAATATTAACGCTAATAACTATTTTCAGTAATGTATCCCATCTTGCCCAAGCCCAGATGGCACCAATATTTGATTCAGCAGCATACCGATCTGGTGGGGACAAGTGTCATCAATGTGGTACCAATGTGTATATGGCAGAAAAAGAATTAGCATCAGGAAAGGTTGGTCAATAATTCTTTTATTCCATAGAATAATTTCTATAAATATCACTTGATGAATTTGGAATAGGTTTTACTGAAATACAAAAGGGTCTTTTAGATCCGGTAGTACGTTGTTTGAAAACCGCGCCACACACAATTAATAGAAAGGTATTTTTAGATTCAAGGTATTTTATTGTAAGTGTATGAGAACCGCACCACACACAATCAATGGAAACCAGTAAGACAACCCTGGGGACAAGCCACACAACTCGCGGACATTGCAAGCAATTAACTACAAAATTACTATCAAATCAAGTGAAGGGATCAATCGAGACGTCCTTAAGTCTCCACTGCACTGTAGTAGGTTTCACTCAAGAAGTCAAAACACATTCACATGGTCGTGATAAGGGAGACAATCCACGAAAAAAGGAGAGGATTTCCTAAGAGTTGTATGTGTCAGTCGTGATGGTCTGTATATTTACCAGATATCTCCATATCATCACACTGAACAAAACTGTTTATGATTTATTATCTGACACTCTATTAATGTCCTCATGGAATGTCATGAATCAACGATAATTTTTTGTACCCGATTCGTACAGGGATTGACGGGTGTGTGTGGTGTGCAAAAGAAATTTAGAAAAAGACATGTATTGTTCAGAGACCGAGAGCCATAACGTCTTAAGCAGCTCGCAAATCTGTGTTATAACTGTGTCTATGTTAAAGGAGCATTATGGAAGATTAGATAAAGAGCTGGCAGTTCTCACTATAATAGTTAAAAACTAGATAATGTAAAGGCAATTTGCTGAAAATTTCAGTCAAATTGATCCACTCTGAACCGAGATATTAGCGATTGAATTTCAGGTCTAGCCTCGATCGTCATTACCAAAGTCGGCACGATACAAAAAAAACAACATAGTCTCAATTATCCATTTTTGCATTTAATCATCAACGAGCGTTGAGCAGCAGATCGGATTCAAATCCAGTTAAAATCCGACACAAAAGATGGTATCGAGAGTTGATTATGGTCTGGATAAGTTAATAAATGTCTAATTAATAGTTTATATATAACATTTAAAGCCTAAAGAAAGACCTGTAATAGGCATATTTTTACTCTTGCATAATGTATGTTTAAATGTTTTATATTATGGATCATGTATGAGACAGTGTATGCTTGCTATTTCTAGAGCACGTCACACCACTTCTCATTAATTTGGAAAGTTCACCTAGCTAAAAGATAAATATTGTTTATACTCCAGATATTCCACAAGAGTTGTTTTAAATGTGCATTTTGTAACAAGAAGTTAGACTCTACAACACTGTGTGAACATGAAGATTTAATCTTCTGTAAAGGTTAGTAGCTATTATATTCTTTAAACAATCGGATTCAAACACACATCCTATTTCGTTTCGTTTTTTACAGTTCAAAATTTCGTTTTACTTGTCTTTACTTCACTAGGATCTGGAAGAGTTGTTATATAACCCACGTTCTGGCTGATGAGAGGGGTTAGCCAATGAAACGATCTGTTACGGAAAGTTTTTGGCGTGCTCTGCACGGAACGCTGGGTAAACCACTAGAAACGTCAACGCTGATTGATTAATCAATGTCTGACGTCATAGGGTCAAAAGCCGCTCGAATGACCTCTGATGCGACCTTCCACTACAACTGGTGAGATCTTCATGTAGTGTAGACCATCGAAAGTATAAAAAACGAAACGAAATTATTATAGATCTGTATTGTAATCAGATTGTTCTTTAAATTGACTCCACGGGCGTATGCGAAACAGTGTGCTGTGACATACTCTGATTTCGAATCCCAACAGCCAATGCTTACTTTACGCGTCAACGTGTACGTAGGACCTCGGTTTTTCATCCCATCTGAACGACTAGACACTGTACGTGCCAGGCGTAAGGTGAACAGATATAACCTACTCTGATTCCGAATCCCAGTAGCAAAGGGTTATTTACGTGCACGTGTCAAAGTATACACAGGACCTCGGTTTTTTGTCCCATCCAAACGACTAGACACTGTCCGTGCCAGCAAGTATTACGTTTGATGTCTGAAGCGTGACGTTGATTGACATCATGAATTATATTGGGTTGTAATCACAACCTGGGCTGAATGGAACGGATCTTTGTAAATATATACATTCATTTGGTTTTAAAATAGAAACGTATGTTTCGTTGCCTGGTAACGTATCTGGTTTTAAGATAGAGACGTCTGACTTAAAGATACATTATGGAAGATCAGATAAAGAGCTGGCAGTTCTCATTATAATAGTTCAAAAGGAGATAATGTAAAAGGAATATGCCTAAAATTTCAGTCAAATTGCTCCACTCTGAACGAGATATTAGCGATTTAATTTTAGGCCTAGCCTCGGTCATCGTTACTATAGTCGGTACGATAAAAAGAAACCATAGTCCCGATACATAGTCTCGATTATCGAGACTATTAATGAATGTCTAATTAATAGTTTATATAACACTTCGGGCCTAAAGAAAGACCTGTAATAAGCAGATTTAGCTCTTGCATAATGTATGTTTAAGACACCCCACTCGTTATTGGACCGTCTGTAATATTAACTAGGGCTAATGTTAGACAAATCGATCTGATAAAATACTATATTCTACAGGTTGCTATGGTAAAAATTTTGGACCCAAGGGATTTGGATATGGAACAGCGCTACAGCACACAGAGTGAAGCAACCAGTCTTGATTATAGAATTTCAACGAGGGGAAACAGCCATAGAAGGAACTTAATGTTTTTATTTTTAAAATTTGTCATGTCTATACATTTACAATTATCTACACATATAACTACTTTGTATACAGCATAAACAAACCAATCAGAGCGATAGAATCTCAACGAAAAAAATGTTTAACTGTTTATAAAATAACCTTTGTGCTTTGCCTATTTCAAGAATATTTCAATATTTTTTCAAGGTTATTCTTTTGGAGTAGTTTACACATTTGAGCTACTTTTCACAGAATTTAACGATATTAATATATGCGGGGATGTTTTATATACAGCATAAACAAGCCAATCAGAGCGCGATCATCTCAACGAAGGAAATAATTAACGCTTTATGTTTTGCTTTTTTCAAGAATATTTTAATGTTTTTTCAAGCCTAATCTTTTTGGCGTCTTTACAAAATTGGGCAACTTTTCACAGGGTTTTGTGATATTACTATACGACGATAGTTTTATATCTGGTCATTTTGTGAGTTTCGTCACTATACGTGGATAGGTTTATATCTGGTCTATTCGTGATATTATTATACGTGGATAGGTTTGTATCTGGTCTATTTGAGATCGCTTACACAGATATTGCTAAGAATGGGGTTTAACGCATCATCTCCGCCATTTGGAGACTAACATATGGTTAATGTTTCCTCGTGTGTAATGCTAGGGAGGATGTCAAGGGCTCTTTTAAATGCGCGTCGCTGTGTAAACGGGTCACGGGTGGCCCCCAATTTTTTGTCAGAAAAACTAGGCAACATTTTCGTTGTGAACACCGCGGGCACTATCCCTGACAATTGGAAAATGCGCTGGAAAAATCCTACCCGGAGACATTCTAATGTACAGAGGGGATTGGGGGCTCCGAATGATTTAACGAGTCAAGTGATATGGTTTCGATTCCCCGCTTGTGTGTGACAAGGAGTAGGATCGCCAATCTCGTCGGTCTTCTCCGGTTCCTTCGGTTTATTCCACTGCTAAAGACTCCTACGCGCAAGCGAATTATTGAAATAAAATTGAACCATATGTTAGTCCCGAAATGACCTAGTTTGCGTCGAGTGGACGTTAAACCCCATTTCTCTACCACTCAACTACCATGGTCCCCCGCTGATAATATAAATATTTGAAGTATGTGCTTGTCTTTAGTATGATCGTAATAACAAGGTCTTATGGCTTTAAAGTTGACGCTGATCTTCAGTACAAACGATATATAATAACATTTACAACGTAATCGGCTTATATGGCGACGGTAATTCTTCTTCAACTGAGATATATTTGATTGATGTCCTATAAATGGTGTTGTTGAAAAATCAGGAAAATAAACGGAACGTAATTTGAATTAGCGGAATGTGTCCATTGTTGTCTGCGACGTTTACCCCAGGAACGAATTATCCGAAACGAAACCTATATTGGCGGCATGTGTCAATTGATATCACCCTTAGTGGGAGCTTACATTATACCCCACTAACGAACGAAACGAAACGAAATTTATATTAAATTAGCGGCCATCTACCTTAACCGGTACTAACGAACAAACATAAACGATGGAAGCGTGCGTTAACCGAAACGAAATTTATATTAGATTAGTGGCCCTGTGTGTTAACCGCTACTGACGAACAAACCTAAACGAAATTTCTCTCGAACAAAAATAAACGATTACTATCACATTTATTGATTTGTTTACCTCGTCAAGAATTTATCGATTTTTTGTCGGATTACTTGATCGATGTGTTATTGTCGCCGATTATTCGCCAGTGACGGACAATCGCGCGGACAAATATGATTCTTGATGTACACAGGATTTCAAACCAAATATAGATGTATAAGTAGTGTATGATCTGAGTTATGTTAAACAGCAATTGTTGTATAATCTGGGTTATGTTAAACAACTATTGTATAATCTGGGTTATGTTAAACAACTATTGTATGATCTGAGTTATGTTAAACAACTATTGTATGATCTGAATTATGTTAAACAACAATTGCTGTATGATCTGAGTTGTGTTAAACAACAATTTTATGATCTGAGTTGTGTTAAACAACAATTTTATGATCTGAGTTATGTTAAACAACTATTGTTGTATAATCTGAGTTATGTTAAACAACAATTGCTGTATGATCTGAGTTATGTTAAACAACAATTGTTTTATGATCTGATCTTTATGGCACGTTATGTTAAACAACAGTTGTTGTATGTTTTGTGTTGTGTTAAACAACAATTTTATGATCTGAGTTATGTTAAACAACTATTGTTGTATAATCTGAGTTATGTTAAACAACAATTGCTGTATGATCTGAGTTATGTTAAACAACAATTGTTTTATGATCTGATCTTTATGGCACGTTATGTTAAACAACAGTTGTTGTATGATTTGGTCTGAGTTGTATAACAAATTATATTAAACAACAATTTTTTTAATGATTTTATCTGAGTTTTTTGTAAATATATGTTATTATTGATGTATAAATATATGTTATTATTGATGTATAAATATATGTTATTATTGATGTATAAAATGCATAAATGTAAAATAATTGGTTGTGACCTTGAATTGTTTTTTAAGTCTATGTATAGGGAAAATATTGTATTAAAGGAGAACTCGGCCTATATTGTTTTAAGTCTATATAAAGGAGAAATGTTGTATTAAAGGAGAACTCACTTCGTTTCTATGATTCTATATTGTTTTATGTCTATTTTAAGGGGAAATAATGTATTAAAGGAGAACTCACCTCGTTTCTATGTAGATGAAAATATTGTATTAAAGGAGAACTCAGCCCGTTTCTATGATTCTATATTCAAGTCCTCTCATCTTTTCATTCATCTCAATATTCTATTCATTATCTGATTTTAAAATACTTTCAACATTACAGATATTGAGCAACAGATTTTATCGATTTTATTTACTGATGCATTATCTGAGAATTAGATAAAGCGCTGGCAGTTCTCGCTATAATAGATGTAAGATAGATAATGAAATGGACAAAGAGATGATATTTCTCGCTATAATAGATTTAAAATAGATAAAGCGCTGGCTGTTTTCCCTATAATAGATTTTAAACAGGTCATGAATAAGGAATATATTGAAAATTTCAGTTAAATTGCTTTATTCTGTGTGAATAGCGTATGGGTGTTTGAAGTTTTGACAAAATGTTGCATAGAATGTATCTGAGATTGTTTATTATCGTAACAACGGTACTTGACAATCGAGTCTATGTTTTAAATGGTCGCCGTGTTTTACGGAACCATCAGATGACCCAGTGCGTTGATTATGGGCTTGTCATGTTAATAAAAATTGGAATAATAATTTATATAGCATGTGATGCCAAAATAGATACCTGCATTAGGCAGATTTATCTCTTGCATAGTGTATGTTTAGCGATTCAATGTTAGGCTAGCCTCGATTGTCATGACTAACGTTGGTACGATAATAAACAAAGTCTTGATTATCCATTTTTACAGTAAGTTATCCATCACAAAATGTATTCAAATCCACTAAATATTGCAGGGTAACGATGGCATCGGGAGTTGATTTAGATTTGGATAAGTTAATAAATGTCTAATTAATAATTTATAAAAACATTTTAGGCCTAAAGAAAGATCTGCAATAGGCAGATTTACCTCTTGCATAATGTATGTTTAATAATCAATAAATAAATATTAATATACTGTCACGAGATGATGTTAGCTGTGTCACGCGAGTCATGGATTCAGTCATAGAAACCAGCTGTCACTGTAAACTAATGGAACGTAATATTAGAAACTTGTTACAGTTGGAGATTTTAATAAGTATATTATAATACCATTGAATAACGTTTAGAAGTAGAGGTATAACATCCAATATAACACAATTATATTGATTAAAGGGGCATTAGGGTAGCTATCACTAGATAATGTAAAGGGAATATGCTAAAAATTTCAGTCAAATTGCTCCACTCTGAACCGAGATAAAAAAAAAACATAGTCTCGATTATCCATTTTTAAGTTAAATTATTTTTCAAAAAGTGTATTCCAATCCGCTAAATATCGTAGACTAGCGATGGCATCAAGGGTTGATTATGGTCTGGATAAGTTAATTAATGTCTAATTAATAATTTAGATAACATTTCAGGTCTAAAGAAAGACCTGCAATAGGCAGATTTAGCTCTTGCATAATATATGTTTAACTGCTTATTGGTGTATATAATGCAACGTTTCAGTACTCTTACATGTATCTCTATCAAGCAGTAAATCAAGCAGTTGTGTTATTATAATGTATATTGTATGTAATTGTATTTGATCATATAAGATGTTGTAATATTGAATTGTATTTAACCGATATGAAACTTACATATATATAAATATGCTGTTATATATCTAATTGTATTTGACCAATATAAAACTTACATATATAATTATACTGTTGTATATTTAATTGTATTTGACCGATATGAAACTTACATTATATTGATATATTTGATGCATATTATCGAATTGTACCGGGGAATAGTGTTTCTGTTTATATATTTAAATGAAATGGAGTTTAACGTCCTACTTTTCTGGGGATCACGTGGCTAAGTGGGTAAGACGCTGGCTCGCTAGCCTGGAAGTCGGGGTGTTCGATCCCTGCATTGGCCGAGAAAGTTCATCGAGATTTTCCGGCGTGGTTCCCCCTTGTCAGTGATGCAGGACGGAGGGTCTGACAAGGACAGCTGTCTAGTCCTTCGGATGAGACGAAAACCCGAGGTCCCGTGTATACATTAGAATGCACGTAAATGATCCCTTGGCAGTTGGAATTCGATATAAGAGTAGGCCGTAGTGCCGCTGTCCGGGCAAAATTTCCCTCATAGCACACTGTATGGCGTATGCCCGTCTTCATTAGCCCAGGTTAGGAGCAGAACAGTAGGACGTTAAACCCCATTTCATTTCATTTCATTTCTCTTTATCGGAATCTGCTAGTGAATCATCTAGAAATGAGGGGGTAGGGGGCTGCCAGAGGCAATGTGATTTTTTTGACACCAGTATGTATATTTTGGGTCCGACTAATCACTGACAATAACATGTCAAATCTTTAATAGGAAGTCATTTAAATCTTTAATATGATGTGTCGAATATGCATATCTCACTAACATATCTTTCCTTGTCGAGCACGTTTTTTAATTCTTGTGGCGCTAAAAGAAACACCTATGTCGGTGATCAGTATGTCCGTTTTTGTAACAATTTCAATTATCCATAATTTTGTCAATTTTTTTTATGAAATCATTTAAATTTATGATATAATGTATACAATATGAATATCTAAAACATATCTTTCCTTGTCGCTCACTTTTTAAAATAATTTGGCGCTAAAGACAAAAGAAACACCCGTGTCGGTCATCAGTAGGATCGGATATTTTGTGTATACGTATAATCGCCCCCGTATTGCTTGCATAATATATTAGCTTGTAGATATTCTAGGATTAGATGCTTGAATTAAGGCTTTATTTTCTTACTCCGTTTTGATACTTTTGCTGTACCTAACTCCGTCCCTACTTACTTACATATTATACAGTCCAACATTCTGTATAACCATAATAAGATCGTGGTCAAAAAATGAGTAGTAACTCACATAGGCTTGTCACTTATTTTTATATCGGTTTAGCTTAGCCATTTCTTGTTAAACATTTACATATATAAATAAAATGAAAGGGGATTTACTCCTTGAGCCACCGTGGCTCCATATACATTATATAGTTTAGCATTGCTGATTGAAATAAAAAAAAAAAATTTTTTATGTAATCTACAATATTTTGTTACGGATATCTGAATGAAATTAGGCTTAGCCATTTTCTCGGCAACTACGTCTGAGGTTAAATTATGTCAGATTTAATATGATGTATTGAAGTTTATTTGCTGTTTGTGCTAGTCGTCATACTAATCTATGTTACTATTATATATATACCTACGTTTAATCTATAATTATTTACATATATATCTGTATCAGATCATACTATAGAGTTATCGCCCTTGATTATACTTTTAAATCTTGACAACGTACCTGGTACCAATGGTGTTGATATAAAGGTTCGCTTTTTATTTGACTAAAATTCACATGTAAAAAACTATAGGCATTTATATATTTAGTTATTTGTATTACAGCATCAATGTATATATTAAACAGCCTATATATATATATATATATACGGACCAGCCCATATTATATATAGATGTATCAGCCCATATTACATATCTACTTGTATATGTATCAGTGTATATTACTAGTAGTATTATATATTAAAACTATATGTACAACTATTGAATAATTAATGAGCTATTATCCTAATAAATCCATGTATTTAACATATATATACCTTGTAAAGTTAAACACAAGTAGGGTGTTATTTGTGGGCGATGATTAATCGCTGATGAGTATTCGAAACTAAAGCACAGCCAACAGAGAACGCTAGATTATTGGCAACAAAGGAGTTAGGAATAGAACCGCCAACAAATCATCACCAATTTAATATAATAGTCTTGAATACTGATCTAATGCTTGGAAAAAAAATTTGATGTTAATTATTCATAGAGTTATCGCCCTTTATCACGTTGTTGAAACTTGTGAAGCCTCTTGCTAAACCCAGTATTTTGTTTACTTTTCATTTATGTTCTTTATTTCAATTATTGTGAAGAACAACGTTTTCTGATAAAACACATAAAGTAATTGTCTTTGCTTATACTTGTCAACGCACAAGGTACTGATGATGTTATACAGTATAAAGGTTCGCTTTTTATTTGTCTAAAATTCACAATGTGACAACCATCATGATCTGCAAGAATGACTTAGCTACAATGGCCATGTTTCGTTGCCAGGCAACCTGTCCTTTATTGAGATACACCATATTGATTTGAAAGTGTGTTTTTAAAAAGCATTCCGGATTTGTTGATATATTATATATGGTTAAAATAGTTGTATTTTTGTACTTTGTTATCATGGCAACCGTTATTTGGGACCAATAGAAATCGTATCTGATTTGTTTTTGACTTTAAAGGTTGAATGTTGTTGTGAAGTGATTTTATATATATGTATTAATAACACATATACATGTAGAGACACAATTTAATTAATGTCTAGGTCTATTTAGAGTGTTCGACTAAAATCGTCGATTTAGGAATTAAAATGTTGGTCAGCTAGCTGAGTGTCTGTTGTAGACAGACTGTGTAAGTTTAGTATGGGATTGTACCCGGGGACTGTAAGAAACGTTAACTGGCCGAGGACAAGTTCAAACTGAATATTTCCTCTCTCTCTCGCTCAGTTTGTTTATTTGTTATTATTATATTGGTAAATAACTCATCTAGTTTTATACACTATCAGCTTATAACTGAAATAAAAATATGTATCACATCATCATTGTGTTCATATTTTATCACCACCTTCACAGGGGCGGATCCAGAGGGGGGATGTGTCCAACACCCCCCCCCCCCCCGCTCAGCTACATCAAATTTTTTTTTGTAAAACAACTTTTTTTGTGAGAAAAGTGTCATAATTGTGCTTTATCCTTTATCATGAGATGGTGCGACAGGATAGGCACTCAAAGCGCGAGATAATGATATATGTGATATCAAAATTAATGCTTTGCATCAATAATTAAATTGAATCACAATGTCATCGTATTAATTCATAATAAAAATTGACGTCAAACAGGATGTTGGATTTCTCTGTTTAAAAAACTAAATGTGTATGTATATACGCCAAAATGACAATAGAGACCATTTATGTCTCAAAAAATTTCAAGCCGGAGGGGGGGGGGGGATACATTTTCTCAGGAACCTGGCAAACCCCCTCCTGCAAAAATTCCTGGATCTGCCCCTGCTTTATCATCAGTAAAATCATCACTCTCGGCAGGTGTGTTTAGCGCGTGCGCCCTGTATCATAAGGTATGTCGTTGAGTCAACGGGCATGGTTTTGATTCCCCGGATGTACGTGACAAGGAGTAGGGTCGCCTGTCCATCCTCGTGACTTTTCTCCGGATCCTCCGGTTTCCTCCCAATGTTAGTCACGAAATGAGTGGACGTGTGTGGTGAAGGGATGGGGCGGTGAGGGGTCGGTTGGAAGGTCAAAGCCTAGACGGTGTGGTTGGTAGGTATGTGGTGGTGCGGGTTGAGCGTCCATCTTGCCAAACTGTTTATCAGAGCATAGATTAGATGTGGTGTGTCCGTGAAGATGATAACGGGGACGTTGGGAGGGGGCAAGCAAACTGCTCTCGGACATTGGACAGACTCGATGGAACCCGGGACGGGAAAACGATAGGGGTGAGGGGGTGCAGAGATCCGATTTCGGCCAGTAAAAGTTCAATACAACAGTTGTAGAGGTCATAGGTGCCCTTCATCTTTCTCCATAATCCATATCCAAGGATCTTCCTAGCATTCAATCTGATTAAAACACAGATCCTATTTCGTTTCGTTTTTTATAGTTCAAAATTTCATTTTACTTGTATTTACTACACTAGGATCTAGAAGAGTTGTTATATAACCCCCGTTCCGGGTGATGTGAGGTAGTAGCCAATGAAATGTTCTGCTGCCGCTTTTAGCGTGAGGTGGATGGAACTGTGGGTAACGGAAACCACTAGAAACATCAACGCTGATTGGTTATTAAAAATGCCTGACGTCATAAGGTCAAAAGCCGCCCTTATGAACCCTGACGCGACCTTCCACATCAACCGGTCAAATCTTCATGTAGTAGAGGCCATCGAAAGTATAGAAAAACGAAACGAAATATAGATCTGTATTTCAATCAGGTTGCCTAGCATTCCACTCTGGTAACAACTTACAAAAATCAAAAGAAATGAAATGGGGTTTAACGTCCTACTGTTTTGCTCCAAACTGGGCTAAATAAAGACGGGCATACACCGTACAGTGTGCTATGAGGGAAATTTTGCCCGGGCAGCGGCACTATGCCCTACTCTTATATCAAATTCCAACTGCAAAGGGATCTGTTACGTGCACGCCAGTATATACACGGGACCTCGGTTTTTCGTTCCATCCGAATGACTAGACAGCTGTCCTTGTCAGTCCCTCCGTCCTGCCCCACTGACAACTGGAAACCACGTCGGAAAATCCCAATGAACTTTCTCGGCCAATGCAGGGATCGAACACGCGACCTCCAGGCTAGCGAGCCAGCGTCATACCCACTTAGCCACCATGGCTCTTATTAATTGATAGGGACTACATTCTGACGCGTAGTAATTTATTTTGTCCTGTTTCCATATATGTGTTTATTATATACTAGCGAATGACCCGTGCGCTGTGTACGGGTTGAAAGTAGTATAAGTCCGGAAGCAGTAGTCAAACACATCAGGCCTATGTTACCCCCCCCCCCCAATATAATAAGATTAGTAGAATGTTTGCTCTTTAAATTAATAATAACATTATATGAGATATGTCATGGATTTATAACACCAAAACATAACTAGTTCGGTGTGAAAACAAATATCACCAGATCACTTATGGTAGGAAAATTACTGTTGCATCAGTTGGTTTAGTAACCAATCATTATAATCAATTCCGTCATATCTGACCAATAAGATAATTTAAAGTCGAAAGCCAAGGGTAGAAAACCATCAGAGCTCTGAGCGATAGGTAGACAGTCGCTAAATTCTTAGAGAGGAGACATGCGTTGAGAGAGAGAGAGAGAGAGAGAGAGAGAGAGAGAGAGAGAGAGAGACATACCGCCGAGGTTCAAGAGACACCATCTGGATTGAGTAGACCCCATTGATTCGTAGGAGAGCCATACGATGTAGCGTGTTCTGTCAGTAAACTCGATCTGTGAGTTCGGGATTGAGAGAAGGATAATGTTAATTTTAAATATTGTAATGTAACCTATGGCTTGTAACCTATCGGGGGGTTGGATGGCTGAATGGTAAGCGTGCGCGCGCTGTATCATAAAGTTTGTCATTGAGTCGACTGGCGTGGTTTCAAATCCCCGGTTGTACGTGACAAGGAATAGGGTCGCCTGTCCAACCTCGTGGGTTTTCTCCGGGTCCTCCGGTTTCCTCCCACTGCTAAAGACCCCTACGCGGAAGCGAATTATTGAAATAAAATTAAACCATATGTTAGTCCCGAAATGACCTAGTTTGTGTCGAGTGGACGTTAAACCCCATTTCTCTCTCTCTCTCTGTAACCTATGGTTTGTAACCTATGTATCCAGGCTTGATATAAAATGTAGAAACAACTGTAGCATTGTCGTGCCTCGTAGACACACGTCTTTACTTTTGAGATAAAAAATATATACACAACGTGAGTCCTAGCCATAAGAAGGGAATATAACCAGAGACAATACTAGACGATCACAAGGTTATTAAAATACAGAAGAGAGTATGCGTCACACGTCGGCTGTGGGGAGTTTCCATGTGTTTTAGCTTTCCACATCTAACAAGCGACGCATAGCGCTGCATAGTGCTACACCTGTCCGAGCTACCCATATACATCAAATTTCAGCCTCGGGACATCCCTAGTGTAGCTACCCTGAACAGACAAAAATACGACAGTCACAAATATTAGTATAGATTCATAAACTATTTTGTACACATAAAAATGTTTAATAAAATGTCCATTATGATAAGTCCTCCCTCGAATTTTCATACACGTCGCCTAGCAACATGTCGCGGCCATTTCTCACGTGCAGCATTCGGAACACATTCTGTCTTTTGAGGGTGATGTCTTTAATATAGTATTGTTGATGATGACTTTCTTACATTTTGCTGAAAAATAAATATTTAAACATTAAATTAAAATAAATATTTAAAAATTAAATTAACTTGTTTTACATTTTGCTGCGAAATAAATATTTAAACGTTATATTAATTTGTTTTACATTCAGTCTGATGAAAACACAGATCCTATTTAGCTTCGTTTTTTTATAGTTCAAAATTTCGCTTTACTTTTCTTTTTACTACACTAGGATCTGGAAGAGTTGTTATATAACCCGCGTTCTGGTTGAAGTGGGGATTAGCCAATGACACGGTCTGTTACTACGAGTTCTTGGCGTGCGATGCACGGAACTGTTGGTAAACCTGTGAGTTGCCTGTCCAATCTCGGGGATTTTCTCCGGATCCTCCGGTTTCGATCCACTGCTAAAATTGAGCCATGCGTTAATCCTGAGATGACCTTAAATCCCATTTCTCTCTCTCTCTCTCTTTCTCTCTCAAAATTTATCAACAGATAATAAGCATCTTTAAGTATTGATACAGTCATCCATAGATTTGGTAATGCGGCTCGGATGGAAACAAGTTGTACATTTATGAACATTTTAATCCATGGCCGTTTGACCAACGCAAAAATTATTTCATATCCAGCCTAATGCCATGACGTTTTTTATATCCCAGCCTAATGTCATGACGTTTTTTATATCCGGTCTAATGCCATGACGTTTTTTTTATATCCGGCCTAATGCCATGACGTTTTTTATATCCGGCCTAATGTCATGACGTTTTTTATATCCGGCCTAATGTCATGACGTTTTTTATATCCCAGCCTAATGTCATGACGTTTTTTATATCCGGTCTAATGCCATGACGTTTTTTTTATATCCCAGCCTAATGCCATGACGTTTTTTATATCCGGCCTGATGCCATGACGTTTTTTATATCCGGCCTAATGTCATGACGTTTTTTTATATCCGGCCTAATGTCATGACGTTTTTTATGTCCCAGCCTAATGCCATGACGTTTTTTATATCCGGCCTGATGCCATGACGTTTTTTCTATGAACAGAAGTATACTTACTACACCTATATCCCGTATCATCTTCTTCATCTAAAGATTTACCCACAGTTAGAGCTATATTTGATCCACTCCCATTTCTAAAAAAATACAACATGTTATTTATTAACTCGTCCCACACAAAACATGTCATTCATTAACTCGTCCCACATAAAACATGTCATTCATTAACTCGTTCCACGTGATACATGTCATTCATTAACTCGTCCTAAATAAAACATGTCATTCATTAACTCGTCCCACATAAAACATCTCATTCATTAACTCGACCCACATAAAACATCTCATTCATTAACTCGTCCCACATAAAACATGTCATTCATTAACTCGTCCCATGTGAAACAGTCATTCATTAACTCGTCCAACATGAAATATGCCATTCATTAACCCGCCCCACATGAAGCATGCCATTCATTAACTCGTCCAACATGAAATATGCCATTTATTAACTCGTTCCACATGAAACATGCCATTCATTAACCCGCCCCATGTCATTCATTAATGCTTCCTACAGAGTCAATCTCATAATGTACAAAGATATCACAGTTTCAACACAGTCTTTGTATGTAAGAATAGATTCATTGAGAAACAGCTGGTGATTGTGGTGACTCTTTGTCCGACAGTTTCTAATTGGCGTTTTCATTGGTGTTAAAATAAAGATTTGGGAGGCGTTACAGTCTACTCTTTAACGTTCAAGTCAGTGGTGTAGAACGGACCTGGGTTTTCCATCCGAACGATAGGCCTAAGACGATGTTGCTTACCAGAGCTCCCGTCCTGCACCACTGACAATGGGAAAATCTCAACGAATACAAAATCCCAATGAATAGAACATCCCAATGAACAGAAAATCTCAATGAACAGAAAATCCCAAGAAACCTGTGTGTGCGAGGTAGGAGGACGATGGGTCCCTCCCCGTGTCACCGGGTAATATTGGGTTATGTGGAACATGCTAGAGTTGATTTGTAGCATATCTGATCCATGGTATATGTTTGACACTGGTGGAACATTATGATTATGATTATAACCGTGTGATATTTTGCCATTTGCGATAGGGCCCAAAAATTGGGGGGGGGGGGGCAAAAACTCAAAACCATGACGCAAAGCGCATCATTGCGTTCCTCTCACTTAGCCCCTGCTACACTAACCCTAGAAGTCGGAGCAGACCAGTATGACGTTGAACCCGATTTCATCTCATTACTACTTTAACGGTTGTAAGCTACTATTAATGTTATGTGCTGTGAATATGTTTGAATACTTACGTTAATGTATTACCGGAACACTGTGAACAACATATGACGTCATTTGATTCTATTGTGTAAGCAGCTCCATGGTTACTAAAGCCTGTCTGATCTATGGCTTTCTTACATTTACCTGAAATAAATTTAAATATCTCATTTAAAGTTGTCTAGTAGTAGCCCGCGAAAAGCTTTCAATGGTGATTCCACTTCCGCTTCCGGTTATTACCAGGTATAATTTGAATTGAGTATCTGTGTATTATAAATCACGATAGATTTAAATGGTTCCAGTGTTAATACCACCTTAGCTAGAATTACAATTGGCGATGGGGTTCGACGTCCACTCGACATAAACTAGGTAATTTCGGGACTAACATATGGTTCAAGGCTATTTGTATAATTCGCATTCATGTAGGGGCTTCAGCAGTGGGATGAACCAAAGAAAACCGACAAGGTTGGGCAAGACCTTATGATCTAAAGCCCCCCCCCCCCCCACGCTTGAAATTCCGGAGAGTACAGTTTCTCATATCAGTCAATCGCAGAAAATGATATTTTTCTCATCATAAATGTTATACTTACTGCATGTAAAACAGTCAAGATGCCATTTCTTCCCCATAGCAAGAAGTTCATCCGCAAAAAACACATGTTTATGACATCGTGGACAGTTATCAGCTTGACTGAACGATAACATGGCTAAAAATACAAAATAATAACACAAATAAATATCCATTAGTTCTTAATTAGAAAGCTTGACATATTTATAACAAAATATCAGACTCAAGGATCTTTTTATAACAAATACAAAATATTCATAGATCTTTTTAAAAACAAATACAATATTCACGGATCTTAATCAGAGAACTTGGGCCATTTAGAACAAATACAATCTATTCATAGGTCTTGATCAAAACAAATACAATCTATTCACAGGTCTTGATCAAAACAAATACAAGCTATTCATAGGTTTTTATCAAAACAAATACAAACTCATCTCGATATCCTTAGTGGTCTCATTCCGTTGTGGATACCGAGGATAATACAAATTATGCAAAGGTCTTAATAAAAACCAATAGATCATTCACAGCAGATACATAATATTAAAACAACTAAATATTTCACATACATATGGAAAAACAGCTACTTATTTATTTATTTCGAAGAGTATTCTCTAAACGTTTTCAAGGCAGTAATAATATTAGCTTGATAACGTCAAGAGAATATTCATCGAAACGTCGTCTAAATAAAATCATAATCTTTAAGTGGCATTTAGTGATTGGGGTACACAATAACAGAACACAATTTTTATGGGAAACAATCACTGGTTTTATTCTAATAGCACGACGTTTCGACAAGTAGCCTCTTATCGTTATCAAGCACAATGATAACGATAAGAGGATACTTGTCGAAACGTCGTGCTATTAGAATAAAACCAGTGATTGTTTCCCATAAAAATTGTGTTCTGTTATTAAATAAAATCAGTAATTCTTTTTCCATAAGTATGTGTTATAGTTTATTGTTCTATCAAAGATTATACATAAATATTCCATGTTTTCCTGAAAAAGTAAGCCTACCCTGTCTCCTCCTCGACAACCGGGCTAACTTATATCCAATAGTTCAAACCAGTCTTAATAAAACAAAAATCCAAACTAAATAACTCTGTGATCCTTACTTCAAGTTGGTTTATTGAAATCTCTAGGGTTTTACAACAGTGTGTGACCATACGTGCAGATTATAATTACGATGAAACATAGCCCTGGGCACGGTTGGTGCTAAATCATAAGGCCAGCTCAATTTTTCGTCATACGTCACGAGATGTAAACAGGGCTCAACCCTAACCCTAGCCATGGACCTAGCCCCAATGCTTACCCTAACCCTAACCTAAAATCTCGCAAACAATCACGTGCCCTAACCTTATTTACATCTCAACGACCTTGACAAAAATTGAGCTGGCCTTAACAAATAGATTTAGCGCCCCATGGTCACTTCATCAAATGTCCATTGAACGAGTGTTGATTATTGACCAGATGTCGCTGCTATTGTTTGTATGCCTTTGTTCTTATCAGAGTTATCCCCCACAAATAGAAGATTTAAAAAAGGATGTAACACAATATCCGTGTCCCCTTTTGACCCCTAACAAGATGTTCAAACATCAGAACAATGATACACAAATAATCAATGATCATTTGTCCGAACCCTTTCTACCTTGGTCTATTGTACGTCCTAGGAGGAAATTGAATTGATCGGTCAATAAACGTATATGGTTGTGTGTGTGTGTGAGAGAGAGAGAGAGAGAGAGAGAGAGATAGAGAGGGGGGGGGGGGGAGAGAAAGAGGGGGGTTAACGTCCACTCGACAGAAACTAGTCATTTCGGGACTAACACATGGTTCAATTTTATTTTAATAATTCGCTTGCGCGTAGTGGTCTTTAGCAGTGGGAGGACCTGGCGAAAAACCACGATGTTTAACAGGCGACCCTACTCCTTGTCACGTAATACCGGGGAATCGAAACCACGCCAGTTGAAGACGGACGGAAACAGGGAAAATCAATAGGAAATGAAATGAAATGAAATGGGGTTTAACGTCCTACTGTTCTGCTCCTAAACTGGGTTAATGAAGACGGGCATACGCCATACAGTGTGCTATGAGGGAAATTTTGCCCGGACAGCGGCACTATCGCCTACTCTTATATCGAATTCCAACTGCCAATGGATCTTTTACGTGCACGCCAATGTATACACGGGACCTCGGTTTTTCGTCTCATCCGAAGGACTAGACAGCTGTCCTTGTCAGGCCCTCCGTCCTGCATCACTGACAAGGTGGAACCACGCCGGAAAATCTGGATGAACTTTCTCGGCCAATGCAGGGATCGAACACCCGACCTCCAGGCTAGGGCTAATGAAGACGGGCATACGCCATAGAAAGGTGGTGTTCAGATTCTAGAATGACTTCCACACTTCATGCAAGGAGTAGGATCGCCTGTCCAACCTCGTGGGTTTTCTCCGGGTCCTCCGGTTTCCTCCCACTGCTAAAGACCCCTACGCGCAAGCGAATTATGTAAATAAAATTAAACCATATGTTAGTCCCGAAATGACCTAGTTTGTGTCGAGTGGACGTTAAAATCCATTTCTCTCTCTCTCTTTCTCTCCACACTTCATTTAACTGACAATAAATCCGTACCCTGTCTAATAATAATCCATACAATTACACATGAATGGAATGTACCTGTTGATAGCTAACACCAGTTCTAAGATTAACAGTTAATCTACCTTAATCCCTTAATACCACCCTTTAACACCTTGAATACAAATTAACTGGTTAAACAAGTCTATATCAAATAGTTGTCAGATTATGATAAATGACGTCTTAAGGGTCATTAAGGGTCATTAGGGGTCATTAAATTTACCTACGTAAAGGAAGGAATCGAAGGAGCCTGATGAGAAAATATAACTGAAGATCGTGTTCGTTGACGTTTTCTTTGAGGGAATCTAAGATATGGTTAATACAAGAAGGCTATGATCAAGTTAGATAATCGTCTTTAGGTCAATTAAAAATGACGTCCCTTTCTTTATGGAATAACAATTTTACTAATGTATTTAGGCAACGTTTCGATGTCCCTTTCTCTTTGTACATGACAGTTCTTGTTGACTTATAGAACTAGTGTGGAAATAGGTAGATCCTAATATGACTATTTTAATTAATACAGAACTAGAGTAGAATAGTATTGCCGAAATGCTGTTTTCTGGGGATTGTAACGACGATAACTCTCAATAAATAATTAAAATTTTACTTTTAATCAACGAGTGTTCAAAACTGGCTAACGGTCACAATAACGAGATGGGTATCGTTACAGTAGAATATAGAACATATATACAAGCTTAGGATTAAAATAATTATATAATAATATTTGATCAGAGATGTTAAATTGTACATAGGAAACAGATGTTTAAATACAGAAGAAGATATTGACATAGCAAGAACGCGTCTTAACTATAATTACATCATCTAATGTCGTTACATTACGTATAAACCCAAACAGTTAAAAGACTAGCGAGATATCAATTCGGACATTTGTCAATTACCACTTTAACTAAAATTAGATCATAAAAGATATATAAAGATACACTATAACAGAATGTAAACAGCTGGAGATTTCACTGGGGGGGGGTTTAAAAAAGAGAAAAATGTCTGGTAAAATTAATAATATAGACTTAGGATGGAGACAGCTGGATTCATAACCTGCTTTAGAACAGTACTGGGAGAGAGAGCGAAATGTGGTTTAACGTCCACTCGACACATATTAGGTCAGTTCGGGACTAAGATATGATTCCATTTTTATTCAAATAAGGGTCTTTAGTAGTGTGTGTGTGTGTGTGTGTTTGTGGTGGTGAGGGGGGGCGGAACCCATGAGGTTGGACAGGTGACCCTACTCCTTGTCACGTACAACCGGAGAATCGAAACCACGCCATTTGACTCAATGACAGACCTTATTATCTACAGCGCATGCGTTAGACCATTCGGCCATCCATCTCCCGAAAAATAATATAAAACTATTAAGGAAACAACTGGCGATCTACCTGTTTTAATATAATACAAGACGACTGGAAAATCAAAATAAATACTCAATCCACAGGTCCTATTATAAATAAAGAAGGGCTATTGTTTGACGGCCTAGTCTTAAAACCCTGTCAAGCATTTTGTACCTTGACCCCAGCCCCTTTGTAAACCACCCTGCACGTTTCAAGTCAGTAGCTTGAAGCGTATATATGGTATTAGTGTCAGTGGCTTGTGGCACGAAGTAACAGTATATTGTCGCATACATAATATATTATGTCAACGCTTGGGCGACATAATATATTGTGTTGACGCTCCAAGCGTGTTAGCATATTAGACCTGTAGACTCAGTGGAATGTACGCGTCATCAGAGCGGATCCAGGGGTTGGACCATGGGGACCGGTCCACCCCCTTAACAATAGAAAGTGTCCCTGTAAATAAAAGAGGGCATCCTTATCAGAAAAAGGGCACCTGTGATGTCAGAATTTCAAAAAAGGGCACTTTTCTTTCGGATTAGGGTTAGGGTTAGGGTTAGGGTTAGGACACAGAAAAGAGAGAAAAAACAGAAAAGAAAAAAACAATCGAAACTTACCGATTCCATGATGGAAAATACCGCCAAAATATGTCTCCAAAGCATTCATTGGTTATCAAAGCGCCAATTAAATCTATCGTTGCAAGTTCATGCCTAGTCACCTCCATCCTAGTTCCAAGCGTTGACATAATATATTATATCGCCCAAGCGTTGACATAATATATTATGTATGCGACAATATACTGTTACTTCGTGCCACAGGCCACTGACACTAATACCATATATACGCTTCAAGCTACTGACTTGAAACGTATCGCCTGTGTAAACAGTAAACAGGTATCTTGGATGACCAAGTCTTAGATCATCATTTTGTATACATTATCTTTTAAAATCTAAATCTCACCACTCGAGGGTGGTTCACGCATGTTTGATCGCCATTAAAACTAGTATTATTACCATATAAGGAAGACTATAAATAGATATAGTCATGCTTCAGGCTATATATATAAATCTACTTAAACTCATGTAAGTAACAGTCGCCATTATTATTATAAGCATATATATGCCTATATTATTGTTTTCATTTTGTATTCATACACAATATATTAATA